GGTGTCAGTGTGCATGTGTGTCCATGTGCATGTGTATCCATGTGCACAGGTGGCAATGCACACGTATGTCAGTGTGCATGTGTTGCCATGTGCACAGGTGTCAGTGTGCATGTGTGTCCATGTGCATGTGTATCCACGTGCACAGGTGGCAATGCACACGTATGTCAGTGTGCATGTGTTGCCATGTGCACAGGTGTCAGTGTGCATGTGTGTCCATGTGCATAGGTGTCAGTGTGCACGACTGTCACAGTGTGCAGATGTCTGTCTGCATGCGTGTCCCTGTACATATGTGTCAATGTGCACATGTCAGTGTGCACACGTGTCAATGTGCAGGTGTGTCTCTGCACACAAGTGTCACAGTGTACGGATGTCCGTGCATGCCTGTCCATGTGCACATGTGCACGTGTCATGTGTGTCAATGTGCATGCATTTATGTGCACATGTGTCAATGTGCACATGTGTCCATGCACACCGATGTCACAGTGCATAGATGTCCATGTGTGCAYGTGTCAACGTGCACATGTGTCAGTGTGCACATGTGTCACAGTGTACAGGGTAATTGTGCACGTGTGTCCATGTGCACATGCTTCTGTGCGCACATTTGTCAATGTGCGTGTGTGTCCGTGTGCACTAGGGTCGATGTGTACATGTGTCTGTATGCACATGTGCCACAGTGCCCAGGTGTCAGAGTACACGTGTGTCAGTGTGCATACATGTCAGAATGTGCAGTGTCAGTTTGCTTGCGTGTCACTGTGTCTATGTGTCAGTGTGCACGTGTGACACAGTGCATAGCTGTCAGTTTGCACTTGTATCAGTGGAAAAGTGTGTCAGTGTGCAAGTGTGACAGTTTGTATGAGTGTTAATGTGCACACATGTCTGTGTGCACATGTGTCAGTGTGCAGCAGTGTCACAGTATCCAGGTGTAAGTGTGCACACATGTCCCTGCGCATGTGTGCCTGTGTGCCCACTTGTCAATGTGCACACATAAGTCACAGCGTACAGGTGTCCATGTGCATATGTGTTACTGTGCACATGTGTTGAGACTGCCTGTCAGTGCGCACGTGTCAAAATGTATAGGTGTCAGYTTGCACATATGTCAGTGTGCATATTTGTGCATGTGCACATGTGTCAGTGTGCAMACATGTCACAGTGTACAGATATCTGTGTGCACATGTGTCATTGTGTGCATGTTTCACAGCGTACGTGTGTCAGTATCTACACATAGTGTGTACACATGTCAGTGTGCACCTGTATCACAGTGCCCAGGTGTCAGTGTACACATGTGTCAGTGTGCATATGTRCCAGAATGTACAATGTCAGTTTGCCTGTGTGACAGTGTGCACATGTGTCAGTGTGCACATATATCACAGTGCATAGGTGYCAATTTATGTGTCAGAGTGAAAGGGCAGTGTGCATGTGTGTCAGTGTGTAAGTGTGAGAGTTTGCATGTGCACACACGTCAATGTGCATGTATGTTAGTGTACAGGTGCTAGTCTGAATGTATGTCAGCGTGCACACATGTCAGAATGTATGTCAGTGTACACATGTGTCAGTGTGCACATGTGTCTGTATATGTGTCTGTGTACATGTGTGTCACAGTGCACAGGTGTCAGTGTGCACACATGTCAGGATACATGTGTCTGTGTGCACACATGTCAATGTGCACATGTGTCACAGTTCCCATGTGTGTCAGTGTGCACGTGTGTCAGAATATAAAATGTCAGTGTGCATACGTGTCAGGGTACACATATGTAGCGTGCATGTGTGTCATAGTGTACAGGTGCCAGTTTGTATGTGTATCAATGTGAAAGTGTGTCAGTTTGCACATGTGTCAGTGTGCATGTGTGTCAGTCTATACAGGTTTCAGTGTGCACACATGTCAGCATAMATGTGTGTCCAGGTGCACGTGTGTTAGTGCACACATGCCAATTTGCATGAGTGCCAGTGTGTCCACCTCTTAGTGTGCACATGTCTCAGTTTGCACGTGTGTCACAGTGTATAGGTACCAGTTTGCACGTGTGTCATTGTGAAAGCATGTTAGTGTGCACACATGTCAGTGTGCTTCTGTGCTAGTTTGCATGTGTGTCTGTGTGCATGTGTGTCAGTGTGCACATGCGTCACAGTGTACAGGTGCCAGTGTGCATGTGTGTCACAACATGCAGGTATCGGTGTGTATACATGTCAGTGTGCACATGTGTCAGCATGGACACATGTCAGTGTGCACGTGTCAGTGACTACATGTGTCAGAGTGTACAGGCGTGAGTATGCACGTGTGYCACATTGTACAGCTGCCAGTGTGCACGTGAGTCAGTGTGCACGTGTGCATGTGTGCCACTTTGTGTGTATGTCAGTGCACACACGTGTCAGTGAACAGCTGTGTCACGTTGCACAGGTGCTGCACATTCATCGGTGTGCATGTGTGCCAGTTTGTGTGTGTGTCAGTGCACACAGGTGTCAGTGCGCACATGTGTCAGGGCACACATGTGTCAGGGCACACACGTGTCAGTGCGCACAGGTGTCAGTACGCACATGCGTCAGGGCACACATGTGTCAGGCACACACGTGTCAGTGCGCACACGTGTCAGTGTGCACATACGTGTCAATGTGCACATGTGCCACAGTGCACAGGTCAGTGTGCACAGTCACACGGGTCAGTATGCACATGTGTCAGTGCACACAGGTGTCAGTGTGCACATGTGTCAGTGTGCACATGTGTCATAGTGCACAGGTATCAGTGCGTACACGTGTTCGTGCACACACGTGTCAGTGTGCACACGTGTCAGTGCACACACGTGTCCGTGCACACACGTGTCACACTGCATACGTGCAGCACATGCAGGGTGCACACGCGTGCCGGCTCGCCCAGCTCCGTCCCTCCTGCGCACACGCTCCAGCGCCTCCACGTCCCGCCCCGCGCGCGGGGCCGCGCCGCG